CTTGACAAGCCTTGAGAAACTTGGAGTAAGTGGGTGCCAACTTCAGAGCACAGACATTGAACACATTGCCTTGGCTGTACATGACATGCCTAAACTGACTGACTTGATCCTTGACTGCAACCGGACACTGGGCCGATCCGCTGACTTGTGGGCCAAGGAACTGCCCAAAATGAAGCACTTAAATATCCTGGACCTGAGGATTTGCGATTTGACACGGTCAGACATTCCACACATTGCCTCGGCTGTAGGTAACATGCCCAGACTGACTGGCTTGAATCTTTATGGCAACAAGTCATTGGGTGGATCCGCTGACGTGTGGGCCAAGGAATTGCCCACAATGATGCACTTAAATAAGCTGGACCTGAGGAGTTGCGATTTGACACCATCAGACATTCCACACATTGCCTCGGCTGTAGGTAACATGCCCAGACTGACTGACTTGAATCTATTTAGCAACAAGTCATTGGGTGGGATCCGCTGACGTGTGGGCCAAGGAATTGCCGAAAATGATGCACTTAAATGAGCTGAACCTGAGCTATTGTGATTTGACACAGTCAGACATTCCACACACATTGCCTTGGTTGTAGCTAACATGCCCAGACTGACTGAGTTGAATCTAAATGGCAATCAGACATTGGGTGGATCCGCTGCAGTGTGGGCCAAGGAATTGCCCAAAATGACACACTTAAATAAGCTGAGCCTAAGCTATTGCGATTTGACACAGTCAGACATTCCACACATTGCCTCGGCTGTAGGTAACATGCCCAGACTGACTGAGTTGGGTCTTCATAGCAACAAGTCTTGGGTGGATGTGCTGCAGTGTGGGCCAAGGAAATGCCCAAAATGATGCACTTAAATAAGCTGAGCCTGAGCTATAGCGATTTGACACAGTCAGACATTCCACACATTGCCTCTGCTGTAGGTAACATGCCCAGACTGACTGACTTGAATCTTTTTGGCAACCAGACATGGGGTGGATCCGCTGACGTGTGGGCCAAGAAATTGCCGAAAATGATGCACTTAAATAAGCTGGACCTGGACTATTGCGATTTGACGAAGTCAGACATTCCACACATTGCCTCGGCTGTAGGTAACATGCCCAGACTGACTGACTTGGATCTTGGTGGCAACAAGTCATTGGGTGGATATGCTGCATTGTGGGCCAAGGAATTGCCCAAAATGATGCACTTAAGTAAGCTGAACCTGAGGAGTTGCTATTTGAAACAGTCAGACATTCCACACATTGCTTTGGCAGTAGGTAACATGCCCAGAGTGACTGACTTGGGTCTTCATAGCAACGCGTCATTGGGTGGATGTGCTGCAGTGTGGGCCAAGGAATTACCCAAAATGATGCACTTAAATGAGCTGAACCTGAGCAGTTGCAGTTTGAAACAGTCAGACATTCCACACATTGCTTTGGCTGTAGGTAACATGCCCAAACTGACTGACTTGGGTCTTCATAGCAACGCGTCATTGGGTGGATGTGCTGCAGTGTGGGCCAAGGAATTACCCAAAATGATGCACTTAAATGAGCTGAACCTGAGCAGTTGCTATTTGAAACAGTCAGACATTCCACACATTGCCTCGGCTGTAGGTAACATGTCAAGCCTGACTGTGTTGTATCTATATGGCAACAAGGCATTGGGTAGACGGGATAAGTTACAGTCCCTCCTCCCATCACTTAGAGTTTTCATTTAATTCTCCCTTGCCAAGCCCACTCTAGAATTACATGTACTAGGCATAACAATATAAAAATGACAACATTCTCAATAAAAGGAAATGAAATTTTACAAGAAAATCAACAAAATCAAAGGGTCTAATGTTTCAATCCTAAGCAGGACCATTTTCTAAGGTAAAACTTTGTAATATAAGACAATGATCTATTCACCATAAAAAAAGTATAAAAGTGGGACTTAAATCAACCCCCTCCCCCACACTTCGAAAACAGACAATTAAAAATGTGTATTTCCAGGATGTCTGCTTGCAATTAAAACATAAACATCATAACGCATTCTCAATTCAGATGGTCAGTAGTGTTGCACTTCGTGTAAGACAATTAGCTGTTCACCTTCTTCACATGACACTGTAGTTTGTCATCAAAGTCAAACTGACACTCTTAAAGTCCCAGGTCGAAAATAACCCTGCATCCGGGTCAGATTGGACCTGACACTCTTAAAGTCCTAGGTAAGATATAACCCTGCATCCAGGTCAGATTGGACCTGACACTCTTAAAGTCCTGGGTTAGATATAACCCTCCATCTGGGTCAGATTGGACCTGACACTCTTAAAGTCCCGGGTTAGATATAAACCTGCATCCGGGTCAGACTGGACCTTACACTCTTAAAGTCCCGGGTTAGATATCAACCTGCATCCGGGTCAGATTGGACCTAACACTCTTAAAGTCCCGGGTTAGATATTACCCTGCATCCGGGTCAGATTGGACCTGACACTCTTAAAGTCCTGGGTCAGATATAACGCTGCATCCAGGTCAGATTGGACCAGACACTCTTAAAGTCCTGGGTTAGATATAACCCTGCATCCGGGTAAGATTGGACCTGACACTCTTAAAGTCCTGGGTCAGATATAACCCTGCATCCGGGTCAGATTGGACCAGACACTCTTAAAGTCCGGGGTCAGATATAACCCTGCATCCGGGTCAGATTGGACCTGACACGTACTCTTAAAGTCCGGGGTCAGATATAACCCTGCATCCGGGTCAGATTTGACCTGACACGTTCTCTTAAAGTCCGGGGTCAGATG